ACGGAAAAAAGGTGAGGCACGTACTATAAGCAATAGCCTACACGAACTCATTAACTTTTTTTCTGAGAAACAAAAGAAAATGAATTCACGGCTTCATGATGGATTGGGGGAAAAATACAAAAAAATACGTGCACACGGAAATTTCTTGGCTTGGAAAAGGATCTCCGAAGTATCTTCCGCCGTGGACTCGACTGGCCTGATTGTATGGCGAGCGTTGCCCGTCGTGTAATAAAAGTAGGCATTCCATCTTCCCAGCTTGTGGGTCCCACCGTCAACGATCGTTTTACATTTCAAAGTACTATTTTGCAGCTGTGCAGACGAACACGCTCTTCTGCTCAATGCCGCAGTTAATTGGACGATTTCTTTAATATATTTTCAAAAAAAAAACTTTTTTAGCCCTTCATATTTAAAATTAACCACAATAGTCTCTCAAATATAAAAAGTCTGCTAAATTGGTCCTAAAAGTCGTTTTCGCTCACTTCTCTAACCAAGAAGTGCGCGCTTCTCTCACTTACCCATAAATTCAAGGACAAAAATAAAAACACATTTCATTTCCTCTTAAAAAATATGTTAGCCACCAAAATCCTAAATACAAACCTCGATTGAACAAGGGAGGTTTTAATTTTTTTCATTTTTCAATATCATGTTGACGATGGTGCCAACAATCAAGGTACAAAGATCATATTGCTTTTACACCATATGTTTTGTTTCTTCTTTTGACTGTAATTAAATTCTTATTCAACACAATCAACAAAATGCACATTCAAAAAGTAAGTAAAGTAGCCCAAAGTAATTTTTTTTTTAAATCCTTCTTTCATGCTCAGCTTCCAACCGATTGATGGCCTTTAACAAGGTAGGTATTATTGACATTGATTTATTGCACATCAGATGATTATACCACTTGAAATAGTGACGAGTACGATTTACCTAAAATGCAATAACAACACATATTAAGAACCTATTTTCACTCTATATTAAGAACCAATTTTTTCTAAAACAACCAAAATAAAATATGCTCGGACTTATTCCATAGTTTCAGCAACCATAGAATCTCTCTATCGGATTTGCAGTTTTCCAAAAAATCACAATCATGGGTTTTTTTTATCACAATGACATCAATCATTATTTGTTTCCAGTGTACTCTTCAATGAGTGAGTTTCTTAAATGTACTTTTTTGCTCTTCTTTTACTACTTGTAGGTGACCACACTAAAATTTTCTTCTTTGATTGGGTGTTTGATGGCTTACAACTAGGATTTTAGTAGCTAAAATAGGGGGGGAGGGGGAAAAGGGGTTCACTGGTTTACATTTTCTTTTTTTTTTAAATAAAAAAAGGAAACGAAGTGTTTTTTTCTTCATTTTTACCCTTAAAATTATGGACACGCAAGAAAGATGTGTACTTTTTGGTTGAAAAAGTGAGTTAAAATGAATTTTGGGACCAATTAGGCAGACTTTTTTTATATCTAAAGGATTATTGAGGCCGATTTTAAATATGAGGTATTAAAAAAGTTTTTTCTAAAAATATGAAGGACCAATTTGACAAATTTTTCATTAAAAGTACTATTTAGCAGCTGTGCAGGTGAACACGCTCTTCTGCTCAATGCCGCAGTTAATTGGACTATTTCTTTATACAAAAAAAAAAAGAAGAAGAAAAACGTGTTACAGCAAATTGTTTTTTCGGAGGGTTGTTACAGCAAAATTTTAGAATAAATGGAATAGTCTCATTGGACAACGACTTGCTGTCCCGTATTATGGATTTCTAGACGCTTGGGCCTGTTTGGAAGCCAGTTTTTTGGGCAAGTTTTTTACCTACTAGTTTTTTAACAACTTTTGCTACAGGAATCCCAAAAAACTTCTCAAAATTTTTTACCTACACACTTCAACATACCCAAAACACACCATAAAAAATTCCCTTCCCTTTTTTCCTTCTTCCTCCCCCATCCCAATCCACCACCACTGTCGGTGCCGACTACCACCGCCGTTTCGTCCCCCATTCCGCGCGTGCAAATAATCTGGGTCGCGAGCCTGGCCTGCGTCTGGTGCGTTGTGGAGCAAAGGAAAGGCTGAGCCTGGGCTGCTAGAGCGTCTGGTGCGGTTGGGCTGCAGGGGAAGGGCGGAGGGGAGGAGAAGGGGAAAGGGATGGTAGAGGGATGGCGGGGGAAAGGGAGGGCAGAGGGGTGGCGGGGGAGGGCAGTGGGCCGGGGAAGGGGGAAATGGAGGGTAGAGGGGTGACGGGGAAGGGCAGTGGGCGGGGGGTGGGCAAAGGGAGGCAGAGAGGTGGCGGGGGTGGCAGTGGCGGGGGAAAGGGAAAGGGAGGGCAGAGGGGTGACGGGGGAGGGCAATGGGCAGGGGGCGGGGAAAAGGGAGGGCTGAGGAGTGACGGGGAAGGGCAGTGGGCGGGGAAAGGGAGGGCTGAGGGGTGGCGGGGGGTGGGCAGTGGGCGGGGGAAGGGGGAAAGGGAGTTGTTGCTGGGAGGTAACGGGGAAGGGGAAGAGGTAAGGAAGAAGAAGAAGAAGAAGAAGAGAGGAAAGAAAAGAAAAAGGAAAGAAAGAAAAAGAAAAAGAAAGAGAAAAAGAAAGAAAAAAAAGTTTTTCATCTTACAAAAACTTCTACAAAAAAATTTTTCACCTTACAAAACCTTCTACAGTAAAGTTTTATAGACAAACTCCTTAAAAACTCAGGTTCCAAACAGGCCCATAATCGACAAAAAAACTCGTGGAAAGCATCGAGAGATTCGTATCTTCCTTTAGAATTTTAGATTATTCTATTGTAGTACTGTGCTACTACTGCTCCAAGCTAACTTAACCTCGACTATTGGGCCAACGTGGACTCAAATGATGGCATCATCGTGTTTCCTTCATTTTATTGATTAGTTGATCTTTCAAAATTGGCTCCATTAAAATATGTGATTAGCCGCCCCCCCTTGATTTTGGAATGCATGAGCACAATTATCAGTTAAGACCATAGGAGATAAAAGAGTTGACTCCCTAGCCCACTTTTCTCGAGTATAAACTATAAACAAAACGAGATGGAAGAATGTTTAGGACAAAAAATTATCCGCTTCATTTTGAATGGTCTGATTTGTAGTTCAAGAATTTTAGTACTAGTTTGCTGTAGATTTTCTTAAAGACCTATTTAAAATGGTGTGTGTTTGAATTGTAGATTTTCAAAGAAAAATTATTACTTTTTTTGTGAACATATTTTTTAATTATATTTTCATTTCACATATATCAAATCGTTACAATAATTTTTTTATAAGAAGTTAATGCTCTCCAAACAAAGCCGAACTCAAGAATGACTACTGAAGCGCTATTAACCACGACCATCAAAACTAGCTAGGCATATTACATGATCAAAACATGGAGTCTAGCATTTAGGCCTTATCTTTGGCTATCACGTTCATACATTTTAGTGAGAGCTAAGAACTGCTACAATTACCATTTAAAAAAATGGACTTCCAAATGCTCAGATCAATCAGAATATTTCAATCCAATGCCAACTAAAATCACCGAACTAAGAAAAGTCGAGGTAAGGAGAAACAAAATTGGATTTTTTTTCCCCCAAAGTACTAAGAAAATTAGGTGTAGTATAAGTTGGCTGCATCAAATAGAGATGTTGTACCAGTAGTAAGTACCCAAAATTTGGAATGACAAAAAAATCTTTCACGAACATGACAATAGTTATCCGATGCAGTTGAAAAAGCATCATGTCAGTCTGAGCGAGGCAACACGACAAGAAGGGGAAATTTCGCAGGCAGTCGTTCTACTCAACGTTCCACAGGGTAATGAGGAGTGAACAGACTTTCTCCAACAGCTTTGGTACCGTACGGGGGGACCTCCACATCACGTTCGCTGACAATCATGCTGCCACCGGGAAACCACGCCAAATGGATGGGTCTCTGTTTTTCTTTCAGCTTTGGCCCATTTTACTGTACACAGCAATTTAGTCTTGCCATGCGTCACAATTTTAAAAGACCTCCACTTTCTATCGTACGGCTTTTTGACTTAACTTTTTCTTTTTCTTTTTTTTGTTGGGGGGGGGGGGGTTAAGTTCCGCTCTGTCGGTGGCGTAGGCGTAGAGATCCATAATCCCCTTACCAATAATCTTGCTAAGCTAATTACCAAGAACTTTGTTGAACTGAAACAAAAACCAAAAAATAAGAACGAGGGCAGCTCTTTGATGAACCATCCATTCACTTCTGCATTCGACTACTGTGGACACCACCTGGGAAGTTCTATACCGGGGTGATTACCCCGGCCTTTAGTTTCTCCAAGTATCTCGTCCTCACCGTTCCGAGGTAAAGAATCATCTCTAGAAATTGGCTCAGCCTCACTCTTACCTCGAACACTGTTATGAATTCTAATACCCTGATAGGTAAAGGTGACTAGTGATTGATATGTTGATATAATCACCCACCGTCCTAGCGATTAAAGTTATGTTTGACTCCGCCTCCATAGCCTATCATATGATAATTAACCAAACGTTGGTGTCAAATTCTGTCCATTGGATTTTCCCTTATAAATACTCATCACCAGCTAAACGCTAGTTACGGATTACCAACCACTCAATTGCTCGTACCTTTTAACTTCCGACCTATAACTAACTTCAACAAAGTGAGACCAGGGGACAAGGCTCCGGTCATTCTCGTATATTTGACAAATGAGCTTGCGCTCCTCGTTAGCAAATGCTGCTACATGTACTGGTTCAAATTCCTAAAGCTAACAATTAACAATTTGAATATCCTATAAACATGGTAAGCTACTGGATCATGGCTTGGGTGGGAGAAGAAGAAACGTTAGCCAAACTTTTGGGCCACATGGGGTTCATTTCTCAATTTAAATACTAGCCCACGACAACTGGAATTGGTCCAGGATTGGGGACTCAAAAGCCCAGCCCGGCTAAAAGAACCCATTTATTTATTTTAACTTAATCCAAATAAATCAAACAAATTGAACAAGGACCCAAAAATTATAATAATAATAATAAAAAAAATTAGGATGCTACTACTGTAATAGTAGTTCTATACTAGACGGTGAAGATTCCAGCTTCCGGTTTCTTCCCACCTTCCTCGCAAGCTGGAAGTTGGAACCAACAATTTACTTAGCCCGGGCAGGTGCCCGCGTGAGTCCTCACCACCACCCTCCCCCGCGACGCCCCTGACCGAATTCCTCCAATTGGAAAGCGAGACCCAAAAAACTCCACGTCTCCACCTCCGGGATCCGAATCCACGTTCAACGGAGTAGTTTTCTCTAGATTATAAGCCCTAAGTCAACCTGCAACTTCCACATTTTTATGATCCAAAAGGTGAAATGAACGAAGTAATGACGGCAGCTGATGCATCCTCCAGCTTACGCCCATACTCATCTCCACACTCCATTTATCCCTCCAATCTCCCCCTTGTCTCCGCTTTCCTCGCTTGTCTTGTTGCCCAATTTCTCAAGATCTTTACCCATTGGTATTGCATTCTGATATTCTTGATTTGTTTTTTTTTTTCTTTTTGGCTGTTGATTTAACTGGTCTCATATGATAACAGAGAAAAGGTTTTTAACTTTACTCTGATTGTCTATCTTTAACTCTGAAATTTTAGCTTGGTTAATTCATGCTGTTTTAGGAAACTGTAGTTGTTGAAGTGTACTTGATTTTCTGTTAAAATTGGAATGACTAAAGGGTTGCTTCGGTTGAAATAGGGAAATATCTTTAGCTTTGTCAAGTTTATTGGTGTTATGTGGCGTGTTGACCCAAAGTATTTCTATTTAAGGGCTGGTGCTGTACTTTCCACTTTCCCTGTGAAAACTTTTTGAAGGGTAAATTGTTAATTTTATACCTAATTATATTGAGCTTGAGTTGAACCGAGATCAGTTGCCTTTGTTTAGTGATTTGAGAAGCTTAAGTCTGTGCAGAGTCTTTGATGACTTCCTTCAGGAGGAACAAAGGACATAATGAATTTTGTCATTAAATGTGTCTGCTTATTTAATGAACCCTGGAGTGATGTGGTGATAAATGGAACTACTAATGAGTGACGCTATGATTTCAGTTGGGACGATGGGGTGTTAATGTTAGACTGTCGGTGGTAAAGACGGAAATTAGTTAAAAGTTCTTTGCTTTCCATGTTAGTGCCTTTTTTGGAGCTTGCCTTTTTTTTTTTTTGTCACTTTCATTTTGTGCTTGTAACTTTGAAGCATTTGATTTCCAGGTTCAAGGAGAGGAAATGGGATTCGAGAAGGATGCTTAGTTCTGGTGGAATGCCGTCATCACATTCAGCAACTGTTACTGCTCTTGCTGTAGCAATAGGTTTGCAAGATGGAGCGGGAACATCTGCTTTTGCCATTGCGGTCGTTTTGGCATGTGTTGTATGTACTTTCTAAACCAGGTTTTCTCCATTCTTTTACATTTGTATTACATAGCTTCAAAAATGCTTTAGTAATATTTAAAGTAGGAAGGTCAGTGGGCAACCAAACCCCTTCAACATCAACCATAATGTGTTTATTCTAGACGGAATAAGGTTTTGTAGTGGGAAACTGAGATGGTTTTATATGTCAGATGGCGGATCAATTGAATCTACTTGATAGCATATTTAGAAACATACACCATTCCATTTAACCAACTAACTTAGGGTCCTGATATCTCTGGCAAATAGCTCCCTTTTTTCCTTTTTCATATTCACTCTCTCTTGCTCTCTGGTTGGGTTCTTTGTTTTGTTGAGGCTGCAGTAGCTACTTTCTTTATCGGAGCTTTGGATAGTTTAACAAGGAGCAATCATTTTCAGTTATTTCTTTTTGCATTTATTTCAGGTAATGTATGATGCTACTGGTGTTAGGCTTCATGCTGGTCGGCAGGCTGAAGTAAGATTTTACCTTTTGCATTCAAAGATCCTTCGCTAACTGTTTATTAGTGTCTCTCCCTATGAACTTCATTAACTGTTTATGAGCTTTCCTGTCTTTTGTGTTTTAGTTACATTCTTCATTGGATGGGTATGCACATTTTGAACTGTGTGTATGAGTTATCCTATTTACTAGAAACTTTTCATATGGCTTCTTATACAATGCATGTTGTATTCAGGAGTCTACCCAAGTTGTTTTTCTTGCTTTTTGTTGATTATATAGTTTGACCTTTGTTTGTGCAGTTATTGAATCAGATAGTTTGTGAATTGCCCCCTGAACATCCTGTCGCTAATGTTAGGCCTCTGCGAGATTCACTTGGTCACACTCCTTTCCAGGTTTGACTGCAGAAAAACTCCTCTAGTTTTACTTATTCTTAAGTTATACAGAGACTGATTGCTTGTTACTGGCTTTTAATTATTTTATTTTTCTTTTAAATGTGGGTTTTGCCTTTTGGGGTCTTGGTTTGGTTGTTGAAGGCTGGACATCTGTGAGCAGCCTTTACTGATATACTTTCTGAACTCTGTTTTATTCATCTGGAACATTGACTCTGTGTTTGGAATGCTACTGTTGTTTAATAATATGCTCGAGAACGGAGTTAGTGCCTTTCACTAGTTGCTGGACATATAAATCCACCCAATGCTGTCCTCCATCAGGGTTCTTTTTGTAAACTACGGTTGTTTGTTTTGGGTGTTAATGCTGCCTTTTCTTTTTTCTTTTTTAATTTGTTCCCAGCAGGGGAGGTGGGATTTAAGAAGCGGGAAAGGGGCAGGGGGATTTGAACCTAGGACCTCTAATTCCTAAGGCCTCAACCTTAGCAATTAGACCAAGGCCTTCTCGGCTTGTTAATGCTGGTTTTAATATTCTCTTAATGAAATTTAAATAATTATTTAATATCTAATTCTCAATGATGCGCCACTTATGTTGCAGCGTACTTACCTAGAAAATAAGTACTGTGATACCCATCTTGTGCCTGATGTTTATATTTGGGTTACATGCATTGATGTCTGCTGAATTTATCTTTTTAGCGTGTCACTATTATTCCCATATAGAGGTATTGTGGCTAATGTTCCTTGCAGTGATATCATGATGAGCGGTACCATTCAGAGTCACTTCCATGGTATACTACTGTCTTCTTAATTGCAGCGATTAACACACTGTCCAGCTTTTTAGGTTCTTAAAATATTATGTACTACAGCATGAGGATAGCTTGACCCCACCAAACCACCCACCCACCACCACCACCACCACCACCACCCCCCCCCCCCCCCAAACCAAAAAAAAAAAAAAAGAAATTCTCATAGTGACATTATGTGGTACAGGTTGTTGCTGGTGCTTTGCTTGGATGTGTGGTAGCCTATCTCCTGAGTAGCTCTGCTTAGAATGGCGCTGGTGATTCTTCAGAGCCAAGTGCTGTAAGAGGCTTTTGTACTTTCTGATTCGTTCAGGCTGCAGCTTGACTGGTCGCCTCAAGTAGAAAGGAAAGAGCTAGGAGTTAGGAATCGGATCCTTTGTGGTGGAAGATACGCTCATTAAGACACGGTTTGGGAAATTTTGCGTGGTGGGGTCATTAGAGGGTGTGGGTGATCGAAACTGTGTATCGGTACAAGTAACATATATAATGTCATTTGTATTCTGTGTTATGGTATCCGTTTTCTAAGATCTTAGATAAAGAATATCCAGTGGAATTGGAGGCAATTCTCAACATTTGTATTTGTGTACACATAGTCAACTTGGTGAGAAATGAGTTCTACTGTTGACTCAGTGACATATATAGTTGTTAGATTGTTGTCGATGCTAATCCCCTGTAATTCATCCTCATCAATTAGATGAGATGTAGAATTGACGTGTAGCATGTTCCTGGATGGCAAAGTGAGTTTTGATTTAGGCCTCCCAAGGTTTCTTTGCGTCCTTATATTATTGTTAATCGAGCTTAGTTCAGTTTTACTTTGACACAAAAGGAGAACCTTCAGCTCAAGAAAATAGGTCCTTTGTTACTGTAAATTTTTTGTTGACTGGTGAATTTGTTTTTAATGGGTTTCTGAGAAGGATGGTACTCTAGCGGATGACCCTGCTTTCTTCCTCAAGGCAGAAACATATTATAAATTTATGCCAATTGCAGGTTCCTTTGAATCTGATTTCTGGTAACAATATTGGGGTAATGACATTGAGGAGAAAGAGAGAAGTGCCGTGATACTTGCATCTAGCTTTTCAGCATCTATTTATCTTGTGACTATTGTCCTCTGGCAGTTTTAAGTGACTTTTTTTTTTTTTGTATCTTCCAAAAGTGAATGCCTGCAAGTGAACGTTCGTCTGCATGTAACTGTTTATGTTCTATTGTTGGGATGGTTTCGCAGCTAAGTAGGTGTCAACTGATTCGCAGGTGATAGTTGTCATTACAATTGCACAATTCTTCGGTTCATTGAACCATTACAAGTAAAGCCAATTTGGTGTATTAAGCTTTTATTTTGCAATATATTTGCGGAAGAGCGGGCTGCGTAAAATAAACGTTGAGCCACAGAAGTTCGAGTAAGATGGATATGGTCCAGAGACAGTGCAACATTGCAACAAAGCGAGGTAACGGTCTTATTTGGTGAAGTATCTTTTGCTATGCATGTTACTAAAGTTTGGATCGGAGATGATAACCTCAAAAAGGTTATGCTGGTTTTATTTTCCATGGCAGATCAGGGCTGTACTTTTTAGTGCTACTTGAAACCTTATGGATCTTAGGCACATGGGGTATTTACTTGGTACTACTCACTGCTCAGGACGGTGCATGCTCGAAACCGACTTTTGAAATAGTTGAAAAAAAAAAGGAAAAAAGAGAACAAAAATGCTTAACGCAACTCTAGGGAGAGATAAACTAATGTGGATGAGATAAAACATAATAGAGACAAATGACAGGTAGTTTTTTCACTTCAAAAAGTCCGATCCGATGAGATGGGATTGCTAGAGCTACTCAGCCGATCCTCGGACAAGTTTATCCAAATGGATGACAACATTATTGTGTCTTCTTGCCAAAAGCTTCGGTCTCTACTGTTTATCACCGGACATCTTTATCTCTACATCTCTAATGGGAAAGAGAACAGGCGAGTATCGAAGATTGTACTTTCCTTTCGTTTATCTTATCAAATCAGTTTCCAAGTTCCAACTAAGCTAAGCCTTAGAGAGTAAGCGAAATCCTCGGAAAGAAACAAAACCGGAGCAAGCAAAAACCCCGGAACAATTTGAACGGACATGCCTACAAGTGAATCTGAAAAGCTCATCCAAACAATAATATTATGAAATTCAAGAGAAAAAAAAAAAAAAAAAAGCGTAAAAAAGGTGAAGATTATGCCTGGACCGTCAACTTGGTAAATTGTCCGCCTGCTGGCCCAATTGGCCCAGAGCCGTAGAATGGAAAAAAAAAAAAAAAAGGAAAAAGTATAATCGGATTTTGTGGCGGGGACTCCACGACCACGACTGCGAGCATGACAATTCTTCGAGTGGGCTTTTAGTCGTAGAGATAAGAGATTCCATCGGAAAACTTAAGCTACTTTGGGACCAGGGCAAAGATCACGCATCTGGATTTCTTACGACAGGAAAAAGGGCGACTGGATGGGTAAAAACGCCGCCGGCCGGTTGAAGCAAGTTAGTGGACAAGAGTAGAAGAGCTGCCTGCCTTTGCCTTTGTATTCTCCTAAAATCAGAAAAAAAAAAAATTCAAAAAGGGGAAAGATCGTGTGGAATGAGAATAATCAGTCCGTTTTCCCACCGACCTTATCGTATGAAAATGTCTAGTCCGACTCAGATGAACTTTTCCCTGTTTCGCGTGTTCTTTGGTCTCCTTGATGACGTAAGTCAGAATCAAAATCTCCTTACTTGAAGTTGACGATGATAAAGTTCAGACCTCATTCCTCCTTCTATGGAGCAGGCGCCCATTTTCATTGCCATCCCTAAGGATAGTTGCTTGCCCTGTATGGTTGGCAAGGCCTAGTCTAAGATATATTCAAGTTTCAGGCAAATAAACTGAGATTTTCTTGTACAGTAGTAACAACTTTTTGGATTAATTTTTCCATATGCTAATAATGTAGATGCCATTAGGTTTGGATGCCCGATAATTAATTTTAGCTTAAATTTGAAATTCAAATTTTTCATGTACGATGTGCATCTGAACCCAATAATATATATGCATTGTAATGTACGAAAGATTAATTTACACACATAAATTCTAGAATATACTAGTTGGTTATCAATTAATCTATCCCACCACATCATGATTACTTGACAGGTTTCAGGGGAGGACAGCTTTTGGTGGCACCAGGCAAATATGAGTGGACGGTTTTGTCTAAATTAGTTTGGGGAAGATTTGTGTGAGGATATATATAGTTCGAACAATTCTCTTTTATATTTCAACCACTAAAGCTCTATATCCAGGATTTAATTAAACCCTAAAAGACAAGAAAGGATTCGGGCTCCAGTGTAACCCTACCATAACCAAGCAAGTTTTTCCACCATGTTCTGATTGTTTCGTCTTTTTGGAATTTTATTTGCTTCTTTTTGTTGGATTGCACGTTATTCTGTTCAAGGAGTATTAATTTATTTTCATAGGGAATCAGGATAAAGGCAAACCAACATTCTTCCAACCCGGCCCCCTTAATCTGATTTTCACCCCTGCGTCTGTGTATATAAATCAATAGGCCCCTCCACATTTCCACTCCACCGTACTAAAGCAGCTACTGCCATTCACTCCCTGTTCAAAGAAATTACACAAACACAAACAACATCCTAGTGTCCATATTCCTAAACGTATTTTATTGATCATGGACAAGTTTAAGAAGTCTCAAATTCTAAAGCTTTTTTTCATAGCTATTCTCCTAAGCGTGACGCCTATCTTATCTACATCATTGAGGTCTCCATATCTCTACTTTGTTTTCAATCTTCTCATCGTCGCGCTTGGTGCTGAAGCTGGCCTTCTTTCCTTCATTCTCAAAGCAGCAGAAGACAAGAAATCTCCTCCTTCTAAAAGTCATGAAACACAAAAAGCTAAGATGATAATTCCTTCAGATCAGTATTCTCCGAATGATAAAGAAATATCTGCCAACACCACCAACAAGGCAATGCTTCTTGAATCTGAGCCTACAACAACCAAGAAAAAACCTGATGTGGCCGAGAAGTTGTCGTCTGAGAAGATTGTTGCAGGTGTCAAGGTTCAGAAGATTGTCGAGAAAAGCCCTTCTACACCAAGCCTATTTTTTATAGCTGGTGCTGAGACTGAAGCAGAAGATTTTAGTTCTGATGATGATCAACAGGAAGCTGTTGGGGATGTGCTTAGTGGGCAGGAGCTATTTCATAAGGCTGAGACATTTATTGGGAACTTCTATGGGCAATTGAAGATGCAAAGAGAAGACTCATGGAAGAAAATTCATGAGCTTTACCATAAAGCCTTTTGATCACCCGCAGCACCCCCACATACTCCTGTTTCTCCCAAAGTTCCTGATGTAAGGTTTGGTGGCCTCTGATATTTATTATTGGGCTCGGCCTTTTGGGATGTGCATGTGATTTTCTATTCATGTTTCTCCAAAACCTTAGGAAAGGTCTGTCATTGTTTCTGCCAACTAGCCAGGTTGGTAGTTTTTAAAGTGCCAAAATTCTTGCCGTCCTTAGAGAGGTGGCTAATTTACCTGGTACGTATGGAGGATCTTATCCATCATCTACATATAATTTGTGTCAGATTGGACATGACACTGGTGAAAAAACAAATAGTACATTTCAAATTATTGAATTAGATAAAGTTTGCAGGTACAGGTTGAATCTATGTGTATATAATGTAAGTATTTTATTTTAATATAAATGACGTCTTGATGCTGTATTGGTACTTCATTTTTCATGATCACCGCTACCTAAAAAGAAGGCTACAAGGTGCATTAATTCAGAAAAAAATGGAAAAGGTCCTTGAGCTCTTTTGTGTAGCTGCATGCTCTTTATTTGTTCTTTTTTGGCTGTCAAGGGCAAAAGTTTGAATTAGCAAAGGCTAGATGTTAATCGCATGCTTTTCCGCTTGTTTTGCTTATAAATTCATGGAGTGCAGGTTTTATCATTCGAAATTCTAACCATCATGTTCAAGTTCAAGGGAGGTAAAGAACGACTACTTTCATGATGTTGCCCGCTTTTCCAAGTAATCCAACTACGATTCTGCGGTATCGATGCAACTGCTTGGAGGCTACGACTTAAAAACGGTTTGCAATGGTGCTGACTTGGCAGATAAAGCTAATATATTTGATACGCTTGTCAGTACGAGGTTTTAACTGTCCAAAATCTTATTCCGGGATTTTACCTTGTTCTTGTTGATACAGAGAGATAGGGTTAATCACACTTTACCCTCTTCCCCCCGAGATTTGGAAGTAATCACGCTTAACGCCCTAAATCTTAAAAGTGTACGCTTTACACCCTAAGAGGACTAGTCAACTTTACAAATCTTAATTCCACGAAATGAAAAGTAAGTTCTATGAAAATATTGTCCTTTTTTTCCGAGTTTATCTTTAAAAAATAACAAGCTAAATATTACGTTATGTTTCCAAAGTTTTGCTAACTAATATTTATTGTTATCGCCATTGTTATTCGTTTTAAATTATAATAAACTGAATAAAATATTTAAAACATGAACATGACCAATATGAGTAAGAAATGATTTATTTATTTTGTTTTTATCAATTTGATATTTTTGTATAGTGGATATTGTATTGACCATGCATATTTTTAGCAATAAAGGGACAATAATAGTAAAATACTAATAATTTCATAACTAAAAAATGTATAATGTCATTACACTTACATTTTTCTTTTTGATGGAATCAAGAATTTCTAACTTTGACTAGTTTTTACGGGGACAAAATGTATACTTTTAAAGCTTAAGACGGTAAAGTGTGACTAACCCCAAAGCCAAGGGGGCAAAGTGTGATTAACATTTTGCAGTA